TGAATATGAAGGAGATCTTGCAGAATATGAAGGAAAGGTACAGGCTGCAAAAGTTGCTCCCTTAGGATTTCCAGGTAGAAACCCTTTGCTGCCCAAACTCCATTAAGACTCCTGACAGCGTTATCGGCCCTGCATGCCAGTAGATGGCACCCTGAATATGAGCTCCACAAACGCAATGGCATTGCATTCACATTTGCAAGAAGAATTTGGCAGTACTTACATTCTGCTCTCCTTTTTTTAATTATTTTTCTAAAACTTTTAAAAAATAACGGAGGGGAAGACAGTCAGGAAATGGATCAAATATTAATAGAAAATAGAAAAGGGGTCTTATCCAATACTTTTATGATTTGGTGCTTCCAAATTGTTATTAGCAGCATCAGGGCCAAATTTGGGCTAGTTTTGCAGGGGAATTTGTTTCACTTACTTTGGAAGGCAGAGATGCCAAGCCCCGTGCAACTGCTTGTGAGGCACTCCATGTTCTTTATATAATTAGCTAATTTGCCCTTTGGCAAATAGTTAGCATCTGGATATAAATTTTAGTTTTGAAACCTCCTACGGTTGATTTGCTGGAGAAAAGCATTAAACCAAGACAGATTTTCCCAGCCTCCCCTCCCTGTTGTTTATAGGATTCCCGGAGCAAAAGGGCAGCATAACTTTAAGGCAGAGAAGAAGGACAGAGGAACACACTGAAAAATCCTCTTGGAAATACCTTTTTTAGGGGACCATGGAACAGAAGCAGCAGGTTGTATAAGGGTGGGAAAAAGTCTGGGAATGGTACAGGTACAAGAAAAATCCTTGCCATGAGTTTGGATGGATGATACACGAAGGGAAAACTGATTCACAGAGCGGGGCAAAAAGATTACACTGGATGTGAGAAAGGAGAACTTTGAGTTCTGGAGAGTGGGTAGATCCACGTACTTATGGGGCAAGAAACACCACCGAGCTGAAGGGACAAAATCACCTTTCTAGCTGGGACAGCAAACCAGTTCAGTCCTCCACATAGAGCCACTTTTGGAGATAACCTCAGGAGATGAAACACCCTCACTGAGAGAAGAAGGGGTTCATACTTTTAATTAAATTATTGGCTTCAGTGGGTCAACAATTGCACTTGCTTTTCCTATGAATTGGTCCATGTGTTTGGGATGCTTGGGGAGGAGACAAGCCTGCTCCAGCAAGTAACACTGCATCCCCACAGTGAATCAATTTGAACTGAAGCCAGAGTTCAGACAGTACTGGTGTGAGGTGGCTGCTAAATAGTCAACTGATATTTAATGCCTGGCAGATCAATGGTTAAGATCCTAAAAGCCCGATTTCTAAATGTACAGTTGACTTTCAAACATGTGGTGCAGAAGTAATGAGCATTACAGAGGTGAGAAATGGAAAAGTTATTGCAGATCCAAATCGGTACACACAGTAAAACCCATCCCGTTTCCGAGAATCAGGCCCAGGTTAAAAGAGTAACACAGCAAATTGCAGAGATCGGATCTTGGGCTTCCTCACAAAGTGCTGGGTCTTGGCAAAACTATTTTCAAGAACATTTTTTGTAACTTTATTTTAAAAACTGTTTTCACAAAATCTTAATGTTTGATAACAGTGAAAATATTTCAATTAGTTCCAATTTTCCTTCAATGGGAAAAAATACTTTTCTGCCCTTTCTCTTCAAAAGGAGGAAGGAGATGATAAAGGAAACAAAGTAACATTGTTAACTTCACAATGAAAAAAAAAACAAACAACCCCCCCCCTTTTTCTGTTCATAATTTCCATGAAAAAAAGGAAAAATATATTTTTTAGCTTTTTGCAAAAATTAAGAAAGTGAATTGTTCATCTCACTGCCATTCTTATGCCTTTGGTAGCTTAATTATGGTTTCTGTCTCACAATGACAGCCAGTTAGTATTCCCCTCCTACAGCAGCTCATGGAGCTAGAGGAAGTTTCATATTGCATTTATCAAGTTTTTAATCCATTTTGACACATTGCTTTGTCCAGAAATTGATTATATAATGAGCAGACTGACTGATATTACCCAAGAACTTTATTTCATGCATTTTGGTACAGTATCAGTAAAGTTAGTATGCAGGTTTTCTACAAAGCAAAGCAAAGCAAAGCAAAGAGTTAGTTCTTCAAGAAACAAGAGGATAGCAGTATTTCTAAATTTTGGCTTGACCTCTGCCTATGTTTCCTGTAGCTATGTATAGTGAAAGACAGAATGCAAATTTTAATGCATTAGCAACTTGTACCACGTAGTAGTTGTAGCAAGTACTTTTATCCAAGAAAGGAAAAAAAATCTATCCATGATTAGTATAATTTGTTGCATTTGTTTTTCAAGATTATGAGATAAAAAATGTTGTATACAATTTTCAGTATTTATCAAAATAGGCTTTTAATTTCCAACTTCCTTATGACACATCTACCACTATCAAGTCAGAAACATAA